TGTGGATGCGCCGGTGGGTGACGAGGTTGCCATTCCGGTTGAAGCCCTTCCCGCAGTCGGTGCAGCGGAAGGGCCTCTCATCTGTGTGTGTCCGCTGGTGGTGGACGAGATTGGAGTTGGTCTGAAACCTCTTCCCACATTCCAAACACTTGTAGGGCCTCTCCCCAGTGTGGATGAGTCGGTGCCTGTGGAGGGCGGAGCTCTGACTGAAGCTCTTCCCACATTCCCTACACGTGTAGGGCCGTGCCCCAGTGTGGATGTGCTGGTGCCTGAGGAGGTCGGAGCTCTTCCCGAAGCTCTTCCCACATTCCAAGCACCTGAAGGGCTTCTCCCTGCTGGGAGGCTGCTCAGGGACCACCAGCTCAGAGCTCTGGCTCAAGCTCCGGCCGCCTTCCCGGCACAGGACGGGTCTTTCCTCCTCACAGCTCCCTGGGCTGGCTTTGCAGCCCCTCCTCCGGGGGCATCTCCGGGCCTTTTCCTCCCCGCTGCCTTCCTGCACCGGGGAGCCCTTCAAAACGGCCTCTCCCACCAGGCTCTGCCGGGGGGATTTGTCCTCCGTGCTCTCCGTCCTCAGCTCGGGGCCTGGGGCAGGAAGGAAGAAGGACAGGCAGGGGATTTGCCTCCAGCCCAGAGGGAAGGCCAAGGACATCCCCCCAAATCCTGCCCCAGCACCACAAGATAGGGTCAAAGGGGCACTGACTTCCTCCTCACCTGCCTGGGGGGCCCACAGCAGCTTCCTCTTCCTCGCAGCCTCCTCCTCCATCTGTCCAAGCTTTGGGAAGGACAAATCCTGCTGGGGGGAAACAAGGGCTGAGTGCGTTGGTTTGGGGGTTCCTCCTGGCCATGTCCATCTCCAGAACTCACCGGCCATCCTGGGACCATAAAAACCTCCAAAACACCAAAAGCCACCCCCCAAAAAAACCAACCCAGAACTCCAAGATTCAGACCAGAAAAAAATACCCTTCCAGGAGTTCCCCTCCCAAGTCTCTCCACTTTGGAGTTCTGGGAGGTCCCTCCTGTTTGGGCTGCTGGGGGGGTTTCTTGTGTATTGGGGGACCACCCTCCCAAGGGTCCCTGCCCTCTCTGGGTTCCTGGGGGTCCTGGACTTCCCCCTCCAGGGTCCCCCTGCTCAGGGATGTTGGGGGTTTTGGAGGCCCCAGGGGTCCCTTCTCCCCTTACTCTTTGCTTTGGGGTCTCAGGGGTCCCACCTCTCCGGGGTCTCCCCTCTCCAGGCTGCTGTGGGTCCTGGGAATCCCAGGGATCCCCCTTCTCCATGCTCTGGGGGTCTCAGCAGCCCCCACCGGCTGTTCCTCCTCCTCTTCCTCCTCCTGACCTGGGTCCCCCCTTGCCTGGCCAGTCCAGTTTGCCAGACCCCAAACCCCTCTTTCTTTGACTCCAGGACCCCCTGCCCCCACTTTCCTCACCATCCCACCTCTCCCAGTCCCTGCATCCCCCTGTTTCCTGGCCGGCCATCCCCTGTCACCTCAACCCCAGCCCCCCTTTTCCTTGACTCCAGGACTCCCTGAAGCCCCTTCCCTGATCCAACAGCTCTCCCAGTTTCTCCCTTCCCTTGACCCTGGGACCACCCTGACCCCCAAATCTCCAGGTCTCCCCAGTTCCCCACTCCTGGCTTATCCTGCCGGGCGGTCCTGGGGTGCCCCAGGGACCCCCTGAACTCCCCATTCCTGTACACCAGATCCCCCCTGCATCCCCTTATCTAAGACCAGGACCCCCCTGCACCCCCTTTCCTGGTCATCCCACCTCTCCCAGACTCCACAGTCCCTTTGCCTTTACCTTGGGACTCCCTGGACCCCCAGTCCTGGGCATCAGGACCCCCCTGCACCCCTTTCCAGCACTGGGACTCCCTTTCACCCCCTTCCTCAGCTCCAGGACCCCCTGCAATAACCCCTTTCCCGGCCCTCCCGCCTCTCCCAGCCCCCAGGCCCCTCTTTTCCTTGATGCTGGTAACCCCTGGATCCCCATTCCTGTCTTTTCCAGACTCCTGAATCCCCCTTTTTTGTTGTTGTTGTTTTTGAACACCGGGGGACCCCCTGGACCCCGTTTTCTGGACGTTCTCCCAACCCCTCCACGACCCTCCCTTTCCCCGACACCGGTGACCCCCGCTGCAGAGGCTCTCCCTGGACCCCCCATCCCACCTCTCCCGATCCCTGCCCTCCCCTTTCCTTGGCCCTGGGATCCCCTCCAACTCCCCTTACCCCCGGCAATGACAGGTTTCATACTGGGAGCAAGTGGAACCACGCTGGAGGGAACTGGGATCATACTGGGAGTGACTGGAAGGAACTGGCATGACAATAGGTTCATTTTGGGAATGGCAGGAAGTGACTGGGATCATACTGGAGCTGACTGGGACCATACTGGGAGCAACTGGGGTTACAGTAGGTGTGAATGGAACCTTACTGAGGGTTACTGGGAGCCTCTTGGCATATGCTGGGAGCAAACTGGCATCAACTGGAAGTTACTGGAACCATGCTGGGGGGACTGGGACCACAGCTGGGGCAGCTGGAATCATACTGGGAGAAACTGAGCCCACACTGGGAATCTCTGTAACCATACTGGTGGTGAGTGGGACCACACTGGCAGCAACTGGGATCAACTGGGAGTGACTGGGTCTACACTGGGGGCAACTGGCAGTGTCTGGCACCCTGCTGAGGGAGACTGGGATCACACTGGACTCATACTGGGAGTTACTGGCACTGCACTGGGGCCAATTGGGACCATGTTGAGGGCAAGTGGGATATAGTGGGAACAACTGGGCTCATGCTGGAGGTGACTGGGCTCATACTGGAGGTGACTGGGCTCTGGGAAGCTCAGGATGGGCAGGGCAAGCCCCCTCCCGCTGCTCTGCATTCCCAAACTCCTTGTTCCCAGTTCCCACTCTGGCCCTGACCAGCAGATCTGCTCTGGGATCCCATTCCCTGGGGACACTTCCCTGCCCTCTCCCCAGCTTCCTGCTGCTGGAAATCAGCACTTTGGAGTCTCATTCCATTTTTTCCTCCTACTCTTGCCTATTATTATTGGGACCCCCCTGCACCCCTTTTTCCCCAGAACTGGGACCCCCTGCCAGGCCATTCCCGGTTTTCCAGCCTCCAGACCCCCCTTTCTTTGATTCCAGGACCCCTCCTGCCTCTCCTTTCCCAGTCATCCCACCTGTCCCAGCCCTTGGATCCCCCTTTTCCTTAGCCCCCATTCCCAGCTATCCCAGGTCCCCTCACCCCCAGCCCCCCATTCCTTCCCCCAGCACCCCCTGCAGCCCCTTCCCGGCTCTCCCAGCTCTCCCAGTTCTCCCCCTTTCCTTCACCTTGGCACCACCCCAGCCCCCAAATCTCCGGGACTCCCCAGTTCCCCACTCCCAGTGCTTCCTGCAGGGGTCCTGGGGGTCCCAGGGACTCCCTGAACCCCCATTCCTGTGCACTGAGACCCCCCTGCAGCCCCTTATCTTGGACCAGGACCCCCTGCACCCCCTTCCCCGGCCATCCCACCTCTCCCAGACCCCACACTCCCTTTGCCTTCACCCTGGCACCCCTGGACCCCCAGTCCTGCCTCTCCCAGTCCCCAACCCCCTTTCCTCAACACCCAGGACCCCTGAACCCCCTGCTGGGATATCTCGGGTCTCCCCACCCAATGAACCACCTTTCCCTGACACTGGAGGCCCCTGGACCCCTTTGCTGGGCACAGGGACCCTCTAGACCCAGTCTAGTGCTAGTTCCTCCATTTCCCTCTTTCCTTAACTCTGGGACTCCCTTGAGCCCCCATTCTGGCCACAGGAACCCCAGCACCCCATTTTCCAGCTCTGGGACACCCCTACATCCCTAATCCTGCACCAATAACCTCCTGCACCCCTTTCCCAGACACCCCACCTTTTCCAGCCCCCAGGTCCCCTTTTTCCTTGACCCTGGGACCCCTGGACTCCCATTCCTGCCTTTCCCAAACACCAGACCCCCGTGTTTTGAGCACTGAGGAACCCCTGAACCCCCTTTCCTGCCATTCTGTGTCTCCCTACCCTGTGACCCCCCTTTCCCCGACACCGAGGACCCCTGCAAGATCCAAACCTCCTCTCCCGCAAAAACAACCCCAAACTCCCCAAGCCCAGAGCCCCCCCAGCCAGCCGGGGCTCGGCTCTGCAGTCCCGCAGCACTTTCTCTCTCCTCTCGCTCCCGGCCCTGTTTCCCAGCTCCGGCCCAGCCCCGCGGCAGCACCAACGCCAGCCCAGCCCCGGGGCCATTCCTTGCCCCTTCCCGGCCTTGCCCGGGCCCAGCCCGGCTCTCCTCTTCTCTCCCACCCCCGCACGCAGCTCTGGGGGCACTGGGGGATCAGGGGGCTCTGCTGGGCCTTGGCAGCAGCGCCTGGCAGCGCTTGGGCAGTGTGGGGGAGCTCCTGCGAGTGCTGCCCACAAGAAAACACAAGAGCTGCGGCCACGTGTGCGGGGCTTTGTTGATCCCGGCGGGAATTCACAACCAACAGCGCGGCCCCCACCGCGGGCTCGGCACAGGGGCTCGGGGTCCCTCTCTCCAGGCTCTCCCTCTCCAGGGACCAAGGGATGGGGACACCAAGGGACCCGAGGGACCCCTTTCCCGCTGTCCCACCTCCCCTTATCCCCCCTCTCCCACCCCTTTCGCATCGTCCCCCAAACCCCGGCTCGTTCCCGGCTCCGTCTGGGGGTGACCCACCGCCCCTCGCGCTCCCTTTGGGGGTCCCAGCCCCTCTTTTCCCCCTCTCCCCCCTTTCCCACCCTGTCCGCCCCGCTCACCCACCCGAGAGCTCCACGTGTGCGGCCACCGGGATGGAGCACGTGAAAAGGGGGAGGGAGGAAAGGGAGGGGATAAAGGAGGAAAGGGAAAAGAAAGAGCATCGCTCCGCCCCATCGGGCGGGGAATCGGCAGGAAGAAGCTCGTCCCAAAAATCCCGGTTGGTGGGGGTTGTTTTTTCCTGGGGGGTTAGGGGGTTGAATGTTTGGATCTTGCAGGACCCCAAAGCTGAGCCGCAGATGCCCCTTGTGGGGATGTTGGGGGTCCCCGGGAGGTGTTTTTGGAGGTGCCGGGGTGGGTTCCCGGCGGTGGGCGGGGGGATGCGGGTCCCCCCCGCGCTGGGGTTGGTGTTGCTAGGTCAGTCCCCGCCGCCTCCATTGTCAGCCCGGAGCGGGACAGACGGACGGACATGACACAGCGGGTTTGGGGAGCCCTCGGGACAGCCGGGAGTGGGCGGGAGGACCCCCGGAGTGGGGAGAGAGGAGCAGGCGATGCCGGAGCTGGGGGACCCCCGGCAGCCCGGAGGGGGGGCACGGAGAGGGGGGACCCCGGGGCCCTGAAAGTGGAGCCCAGGGAGGGTGGGACCCAGGAGAGGGGGGCCCTTGGGAACCCGGGACCTGCAAGCAGAGAGAGAGGGGAGAAGGGACCCCTGGCCCCTCCAAACTTGCCCGTATCCCTGAGCGGCACCGTGGAGAGGGGGCAAAGCCCAGGAAGCCAAAGTGGGGAGACTGGAGAGGGGGCAATCCTGGGATTCCTGGGAGCCCTGGAAGGCCAGAGAGGGTGGGGACTCCAGACAGGGGGTACCCTCAATACATACGGGACCACCAGGATCCTGGACAGAGGGAACCTCAGAACCCCAAAGTGGAGACACCGGAGAAGGGAATCTCCTGGGAGGGATTCCAGGGGATGAGGCTCAACCAGGCCAAGGGCTGGGTCCTGCCCTTTGGCCACAAGCAGCCCCAGCAGCCCCACGGGCTGGGACAGAGTGTCTGGAGAGCAGCCAGGCAGGAAGGGAGCTGGG